AAGAGGTTCTCGACGAACCCAACTCGCGGGTTCAAGAGGAACCCAGCTTGCGGGTTCAAGAGGAACCCAGCTTGCGGGTTCACGAGGAACCCACAAGCTGGGTTCACGACGAACCCACGAGCTTGGGTTCGCCATCGTGAACCCACGAGCTTGGGTTTCGCCATCGTGAACCCACGAGCTGGGTTCACGACGAACCCACGAGCCTGGGTTCGCCATCGTGAACCCACGAGCCTGGATTTCGCCATCGTGAACCATGAGCTGGGTTCACGACGAACCCACGAGCCTGGGTTTGCCATCGTGAACCCACGAGCCTGGGTTCGCCATCGTGAACCCATGAGTTGGGTTTCGCCATCGTGAACCCACGAGCTGGGTTCACGACGAACCCACGAGCCTGGGTTCACCATCGTGAACCCATGAGCTGGGTTCATCGCAAACCCAAGCTAGGTTCATTGCGAACCCAAGCTAGGTTTGTCGCAAGATTCAGAAAGTTTCAAATCAAACGCGAAAATTTTCATGTACAGAGAGACTTAGAAACTCAACGACACATACAGAAGATGAGGAATCGATTGAAGAGATCGAAGGGGATTTGCAGTTGCAGATCTCCTACTGCTTGCTCCAAGTTCTGTTGGTACTTCTCTCTTGAATTCAGCTTTTGCCTGAACTTCTCTCATTTGCATGCTTATTCTTCTTTGTATTCATAAATTACTTGTGAAATTTGTGAAATTAGGAGTTGAATGAGCGATTTTTATTTGATTTCAGCTATATTTTGAGCTTAGTTATGTTTCATAAGTTACTTGTGAAATTTGAGATTGAAATTGATCTAGAAACAGAAGGATTTGAATGTTTCAATGAGAAAAACTTGATGAAGCTCTTTCATATGCAATAGTTCTTCATGTTCTGTGAAAATACTAACAGTAAGCTAAGTAACGATAAGATGTTTCTAGAAAATTTTTTGGTTTCCTGGACACTGTCCTGTTTGGATCTTGATTTTACACTTTTGTTGCTTTTCAATAATAATATGAAATAATAGTCTCTACTCTCCCAAGTCCAATCTCAACAATCAATTCAAAATCAAAATCATTAGTTCGTGGGTTTGTTGTGAACCAGGCTTGTGGGTTCGCGATGAACCCAGGCTCCTAGGTTCGCCTGAAGGTAAGAAAAAAAAGAAAAAAAAGGCTGAAGAAAGGAGAGGATGGAGGAAGAAGATGAGGGTAAATTGGTAATTAAAGACAAAAAATTTGGCCATGTCATCGAGTTTTGCCGGATGGATTTTCCACGTAATTAAAGTAAAGAAAAAAATAAAATTTTTCGTTAATTAACCTGCCACATCAGCTAAAATTTAACAGAAGGACTAAAAAGGGGCCGGATTTGTGAACAGTAAGGACTAAAAAGGGGATTTTTTCGGTACAGGGACTAAAAAGGAGCTTTTTCCTATAATAGAGGGACCAAAAAGGGTATTTAACCTATTATGTTCATAAGTGTGATTTCAGATTTTATTATTTTCATGATGAATATGATGCAGCCTAATCAATTTAATATAAATTTTGTGATTTTATACTTTCAATTAAAGTTATTCACATGAAGAATTTATATTACTAAACTTAATGCATTGGAAGCCTGATTACCTTTAAATTGATTTAGTGATTTATGCATGAACTTGAAAAAAAATTGCGTAAATTAAATCAATAATAATATAAACCATATGTTAAACTATGGAATGGAGAGGTAATTAACTCACTGTTGACGACCACTTAAGATTTTTCAAAACAATGAAAAATTAAGTGTGAAATATAGAAGAAAAGGGAGTCGTCACTCGTCCAAATTATAAAGTGGAACAAGTCACCTAAAACCAGGTCTACACAGAAATCGAGATTCGAAGATTCGGTTAGGAATGAAGAAGGACATATGCGCACCTCATAATTCTCTGTTTAAACATGGTTGCATACTTTAACATTATGATTTTAATTCAACTTATTCATTATATTTATGATTGAGTCTTAATAAGCAAACTTGAAAAATGGATAAACCAAGTCGAAACAATTTTTTTAAAATTTTTTTTGACTAAAATGGACAAAATTAAGAACATGGATGCATCATAAGCATAAATAAAAATTAAAGGGACTAATTTAATTAAATTTTAAAATATGGACTGATTTGATTAAATTCAAAATATGAAGGACTGCTTTGAAAAGAGTTGAGACCCATGGACTAAATTGTCTAATCATGAAAGTTTTGAGTGAAATTTGAAATAAAGAAAGATAATTTTGACTATCACCAAGATTAAGAGAAATTAAAGGTTTAAATTAATTGACTATGATAATTAACTTAGTTGAATGATCAATTTAACATTAATTAAAATTAATTAATCACATTCATTAATTTTTAATCAAGATAATTAAGTAACATTATTATCTTTAAATTAAGATCTATAAATATAATTAATTTATTTTAATTAAAGTTAATTAATTTTATTAATCATAAATTAAATTAATTATCTTAATTAATTAATCATTTTATCTATATCTTTTTTTTTACTTTACCATTTTTTACGGTTTGTTTTATTTCTTTTTTTTTTTTTGATTGGGTCGGATCTACTGGGCGTAAAAAAAAAAACACGAACCACTTTCCAAAAAAACAAAAGAAAGATCAAACATCATACAAGAAAAAAAAGAACAAACGAGATCTGGAAAAGGTATTTACGTTCTTGTTTAACCATTCATCAGCACAGACAAAGGAAGATCAAATATGCAAACAAAGCAGGAAAACTAGGGTTCATCACGAATATATTTCACTTCGAGCAAAAATAAATGTATCCATCAAGAAATAAACTGAATAACTTTTTTTTTTTGATTTTTCATTCATTTTCAAATGAAACACATACAATCTTAACATCAGATCTAAGAAGAACTAACACCCACAGAAAAATTAAACAAACACGGTGAATTTTTGAAAGAAAAACAGATCTGGATCTGGTGGAAGGAATCCCACCCACGGGATCAAGCTTCCACCATCTCTTTCACCATTTTCCTAACGAAAATCCTCTAATTCAGAAACATACCTAATGCAAAAACCCAAAAATGTGCATCCTCCTTCTACCGTGACCTCCAAAGAAACTCAACCAAAAGAACCCCCTCAGCTCCCCAAAAAAGAATTCGAAAATCAACTAGCCAAATCCCACCTCTGCCTTTTGCTCTATATATACACCCAAAATGATAAAAATAACGATAAAAAATAAAATAAAATAAAAAAAGGGGGGCCTTGCTTTGTCAATCACCAATGATGTCAATTTTGTCTGTCATTGCTCTTTTTTTTTTTTTTTTTGGTAGGTGAGGCAAGGGCATGGCTGTAGGCTCAGTGCAGCAGAGGTGGGGATTGGGACCAGGCTCGGTGCAGCAGCAGGGGGCGCAGAGGGGTGCGGATCGGGCTACAGCAAGCAAGGGGCGTAGGGGTGTATGATGGCTGGCTATGGCTTGGGCATGCAGGGGCATGATTGCCGTCAGTGGGATGCAGAGAAGAGGGGATCTAGTGCAGAGTGCAGGAGATCTGGTGCAAAGCAAGGAGATCTGGTGCAGAGCAAGGCTCGCGTGCGGAGCAAGCAAGGGCGTAGGCATCAGGGCTAGGGGTGGGCTCGGCGCAGGGCAGGTGCAGGAGCAAGGCTAGTTCGCGGTAGCAGAGCGTGGGGCACGGGGCGCTGGGCACAGGGCTAGTGCGAGGCTAGGGTGCAGGGGCAAGGGAGAAGAAGATTCTGGAAGAAAGAGAGGACGGGGACCTTTAAACATTTTTTTTTTTTGTTTTTGGGTTTGGGTTAAATGGATTTTGGGTTTTGGTTTGGGTTTTTGGCTTATTTTGGGCCATTTGAGATGGGTTGGAATTGGGCCATTTAAGATGGGTTTAAGGTGTAAATGGGCTTTGGGTTAAACTTTAATGCATTTCACCCTTCAATTTTTCATCTCTTCAATTAAGTCCTTTCTTTCTTCTTCATTTCCTTTTTTCCAATTTTCTTTGCAAAAATCCCCTTTCTTGAGTTTCTTTTCCATTTGTTCATGAATTTTCCAATTTCTTCTTGAATTTCTTTTTGCATGTAACACCTGAAACAAAATAAAGATATATTAGTCGAAAAGAAGAGAAATTTTCATATTTTTATATTTTTGATTTTTTTATATATTTTTTTTGATAAAAATTTGACTTATGACACTCACATGTGGTAGTGGAGGAAGAGAAGAGAGTTAGGAGCTCCCTCTTCTTAAGCTAAAGGTTTCCATAAAATTTAATACTCATTAGTTTGCTTAAAATTATATAGAAATATGATTAATTTGGCAAACAAGTGAAGGATTAGCTTGACTTGAAAAAGCTGGTTAATTAATTTAGAGAAATCTGCTATCACATGTAATAACACTTAACAAATTGGTTGTGAAAGTATATTAATCCAGAATTTATATTGATTGATTGTGGTGAAGTTAATGCCTTAACACCTCATATCTTCAATAACTTTATTTTAATTATTATTTTCTTTTTATTCTTTATTAAATTTTATTCTCCTTTTTTTATTGTTCAAATAAATTTAGATTAATTATTTTGGTACTTAATTAAACATAATCCTCGTGAGTTCGACACTCTTTTCATCATTTTATTACTTGGAGCGACTAGTACACTTGCTAAGGTTATTTTAGTGCATCCAGTTTTTGATCTTTTATTTCTATCTTTTATTTTAATAATTTAGATTTTTTTATCTTTACGGCCTAGGTTAATGCATAAATTGTTGTTATTTGATTTTGGCCAGGTCATTGAACAACTTTGGGGGACGAGATTATGGAAATTCACATGCTAGAAGTCTCCTTTAAATGAAGACAACTCAACTTCAAAACTTCAATTTTAAGTCTTCAAGTGCAAAACCTGGGAAGTTTCTCTTTTCTCTTACTTTTATTTCACATTGAGGACAATGTTTGATTTAAGTTTGGGGGAGAGAAAAACTTTTAGGCATCTATTAGTTGCATTCATATTTTCATGACATACATTTTTTTTATTATTATTTTTTCTCTTTACGGCCTAGGTTAATGCATAAATTGTTGTTCTTTGATTTTGGCCAGGTCATTGAACAAGTTTGGGGGACAAGACTATGGAAATTCACATGCTAGAAGTCTCCTCTAAATGAAGACAACTCAACTTCAAAACTTCAATTTTAAGTCTTCAAATGCAAAACCTGGGAAGTTTCTCTTTTCTCTTACTTTTATTTTACATTGAGGACAATGTTTGATTTAAGTATGGGGGAGAAAATAACTTTTAGGTGTCCATTCTTACATTAGTTGCATTCATTTTTGCATAACATTTTTAGAAATTAGGGTATTTTTTTTAGGAGTTTGTCCAATTAGTGTCAAGGAATTGGATATTGTTGAGTTGAAAATTAAAAAATTCAAAAACTTTTAAAATCTTTGAATCTTAGAGGAAATACAAAATCTAAAAAATAACACCATTGTGATGAAGTTTAGAGAAAACACTTAGTAGCACCTA